AGACGCCCGGCTGATTTTTTGATTTATTGTAGAGATGAGGTCTCGCTGCCCAGGCATGTCTCGAACCCGCGTGCTCAGGCAATTCACTCACCTCAGTCTCCCAAAGGCGTGGGATTACAGGCTGAGCCACCGAGCCCGGCAGACTCCAGTTTTAAAAGAAGAATTATAAAAGACTCTGGTCTTTGTATTTACGTTTGAACCAAAAGCAAAATCCTGTCTGCCTTGTCAACCTTTGGCAAGACTGCTTGTTCCCAAACCTAAGTACAGTTCTTCTGGCTTGGATGCTATACAATAGCCTTGGGGTTCATGCTTTATTCTTTACTCCAATATTTGCTTTACCATTCCCAGTCTCTACTCATCTTTTTTGAATGAATAGTATGTTGACCTGACAGACAGTATCAATCTACCAATCAATCTACTGTCTATCTAATATAGATATATATTTATTCATAAGAACAAGTATTTCTGTCAGCTAACTATATTGTATTTTCCTCAAAAATTGACATATTGCAGTGTGCAAGTTTGCTTTTTGATAAATTTAGAAATTATACTTCTCTTAGATACATCTGTAAAATTTTGTTCCTGAAAAAGACAATTTAAAAAAAACCCTGCATTTTAAAAGTTTTGTATATCTTCATTCCATTTGAAAGCAATACCTTATTATTTCCCACAAAATACAAGTCATTTAAGGTTATACATGAGGTTCTTAACAGCGTTATTAAAAAGTATACATTCATTTTCTCATTAGTGGAAAGCTTTCCTTAAACTTTCATAAAAATGGCACTATTATTTTCAGATTTACTTGTACATTGTGTAAATTGTATATTAAGTACTTGTAAAACTGCTTTTTAAAAATTCCACCATGTTAGTATTGTATTTGTATTCTTCCCCCTACCATGGAATTTTAAAACAGAACTGTTTGGGTAGAATTTTAAGAGAATAACTTGTAGTTAACTTTGTCAAAGCATAAATGTGGCAGAATTCCCAAAGCTGTGCATACAGGGACTGGTGGACTGCCCTCAGTGGTCACTGTTCTCTTTATGTGAACACCCCGGCATTGACAGGACTTGTCATTGACATGGCTATGTAGCTGTAGAATGAGTCTAAATCCCATGTTTTTAATTTTGGAAGTTTCAGGGATGTCTTTTGTCTGGAACCAGGGATTTTTCTTTATTTTCTTGACATTCTTGAAATTCAAACTTTGTGTTTGATCCAACAAGTAGATGAGAAGAGCCCAATCACTCAAAGGAGTTAAACCCATCACCTGACATTTTTGAGAAGGTATTTCTTGATCCCAAGAATATGGGAGTTTGCACGGCCATGTGTTCCTTAGTCTTTTTTTACTGATTCTATAAAGTGTTACCTTTTTGGAATATTTGCTTTTCCTGCTGGACTCCAAGTTTAAAGGGACTTAGCCTATCTCTGTTTGATTCACTATTTATGCTCCAGTACCTAACTCAGGTTGATTTATGCTCCATATATATCTGTGACTGATACATTAGGGATTTCCAGATAACTTGAGTGATGAAAGAGCTGGGAGTGATCTCATATTCATGAAGGGATTGCAGACTTAACTAGAGAAAGAAAATATTTGGCAGTATATGACAGAAGAAAAAAAAAATTTGGAAGATAATCAAATGGATAAAAGGCCAAAAAAGCAGCATGACAAGATTGAAAAAGCGAGAACCCTAGGAGTTAGATAGATCTGAGTCAAAATCTTTTCTTTATCCCATCTAGTTTTATGACAAAAGGCCACATATTTAACCTCTTGTTGTCTCATCTGCAAGATGAGTATATTTATGTTAACCTCACAGAAACGTCATAAACGTTATAAGAGCTACTCATTTAGTGGAGTGTCTCCCATGAGTAATTTTTTCAAAAATGATAGATATTGTTATTAACTATTATTATTCTTCAGTATAATTTCTGAGCAAAAAACTGAGAAAAACAGATAAAAAGTTGCACAACCTTATTTAAATTTTAATTAAACCAGATATTCCTAAAATATACGTCATCCAATATCAGAATAGGTCACTCTGAATGTTTGTGCAAAATATGTGTTCAGAGATAGCATATTCTGTGTGACAAGGATTTTGAGTACTCTAAGATTTTGTATCATACTTCCAAGTATGCTGAATTGTTATATTTTATGTACCTATCCAGCGCAAATTGTATATGGACTTGGTTTCTTTGTGTGTTTACGTTTCTCCTTATCCCAAATTGCCTGATAGTCCAAATATATATTTTTCTCTCCTTCATTGTATCAGCATTTACTGAGCTGAGTTAATTAGATCAGTTAGGGTACAGATCTCCCACCAACTCCTGCTATTCAAAAACAATTCAAATATATTTAACTTAATGATCAAATTTTATTTTGTTTTTTAACTTGAACTTTTTTGTTCACCCTGGGCAGATTAATAACTACATACTTTAAATATATTTAAATCTGACTTTAAATATCTAAAGACATTATCGTGGAAGTGGATCATTGGAAGTGCATTCTGTTAAACTGGGTTTATTTTCTATTTCAGTTTGGGAAGCAGCATATAGAGAACCTCTTCAGTGACCTGCAGGATGGGAGACGCCTCCTAGACCTCCTTGAAGGCCTGACAGGGCAAAAACTGGTGAGTGACTTATTTTTAAGTAAGTTAACATTAACCTTAGTGGAATTTCAAACCAGAAACAAGCAGCATAGCTTTATGAGATCTAGTGAAATTAACTAATTTACTAAATCTTAATTTAATTAAAATTATTGGTACCTACTTCTGAGTAAAACCATCTCACATTATTATGCTTGTTTTGGTATAGTCTATCATATGCAGCACAATAAAGTGAAAATTTACAATAATATAATTTATGTTAACAGGTATTACTCAATTTTACTATTTGGTGTCTTTATTTACAAATGTCTTTATAATGGGATGTATACAGAATGAATTTTAAAAATATCTTTGTGCTTTTGTATATTTTATAATGATATTACAAAAAAACAATTAATGTGGGGCAGCATAATAGAGCGTAGGCATTTTAGTCCAATGTACAATATCGTTTGTGATGAGAATGTAACTTCCCTTTGAGAACTACTATCTCATCTAACTTCAGAGCATTCCTGTGAGATAGACACGCTTATCATACAGAGTTATAGATCAGTACAACCATAAGGTCTCACAATGGGGAGAAAATCTCTGGAATTCAAATCTTCCGACTGAAATAATCTTATTTTTAGACTGCTATTATTTGAATAAGTAGAGTTTAAGCCCTCAATCTACAATCATAGCCATTATGCATATCAAATGAATCTCGCTAAATTATTGCCTTAATCTCTTCTCTTTGCCCTTCACTATGACTTCCCAATACACATGCATGCACATGCATACACACACACAGACTTTGTCTTAATATGCAAACTCCAGTCATCATTCAAAGTTTAAGATACCCAAAATCCTACTCCCCCAACCAGCTTCATTCAATTATCTGTCAGATATGCCTGGGTTTTTTTTTTTTTTTTTGAGTTGGAGTCTCACTTGGTCGCCCAGACTGGAGTGCAGTGGCCGCTCCCGGCCACCGCAGCCTCGACCTGCTGGGCTCCGGCGATCCTTCCGCCTCAGCCTTCTGAGTAGCTGGAATTACAGGCATGTGCTACCACGCCCGGCTGATTTTTTTGATTTATTGTAGAGATGAAGTCTCACTGTCCAGGCGGGTCTCGAACCCGCGGGCTCAGGCAATCCACTCACCTCAGCCTCCCAAAGGCGCGGGATTACAGGCTGAGCCACCGAGCCCGGCTATGCCTGGGTTTTTACTTGGGTTAATTACCTGCATTGCTTTCTGTGCTTCTGTCTAAACAGTCCTTCAGAAATACTGATTTTTTTTTCATTCTCAATAAAACCTTTTCCAAATTCTCTTTACTAATTTGTCTGTCTTCTTAATTTTCATAGGATACTCATTTTTGTCTTTATCTGTTGTTTTATTATTTTTGGTATATGTATGTGTGACGATGACATTTGTTCTCAATTAAATTCTAAAGTCCTACGGGGAAGAGACATACTCTATGCTTTCATTTGCAAAGTATTCTTCAACTACTATGTGAGAATAATATATTATTACACTAAATTCAAAACTGATAGATTTTCAAGAAGTCTTAACTTGCATTGATATAAGAACAACTTGATGACATATTGAAATAATCTCTTTAGTCAAGTGAAAAAAATTCACATTTATTACCTTTCAGCTGAACTTTTTGCTTTTAGTCAATTTGAGAGCCTTGTGTACAACTAATCTTAATTTCACTGGTTAGAGGTATATTTGCATATAATCATTCATATCCTCTAACTATATGAACAATTCATATATTTGTACACATAAGGTGTATATGTACGTATGTACATAGATATATAAAAATCAGTGTGGTCCTTTGTGTCCTCCCCAGTTTCTCCTGTATTCTGGGATTAGTTCTGCCTTCAGTTACCAAATATAGAAGTCCCAGTGTCTTCCAAATGTTTATGAATTTTTTTAAGGATTATGGATTCCACAACCTGTCCTGGTCCTCTGCAAAAGGCTTCTGTCTCTTCACTTCTGGGTATCCACAAAACCACTTCTCAGTAGTGCCATTATACTCTGGTTATTTTCTTGACTGAGGCAACCCTTCCATCACCCAAAGTAATTTTGCCAGGATTAACAAATTTCATATAGACACAATGTTTAAAATAATGAATTTTAGAAAAATAAAATGTAAAGGATGTGAAATTTTCATGGAGATAGATACATACATAACATGCATGAATGCATACATACGTACATACATAGATGCAGAAGTAAAATGAACCTAATTAGTAACAAGCAGTAAAATGATGGGCAAGATATCCATGAGATTGACCAGTATAGTGGGTCAGTCCAGTGGGTAGTGGGGGAAATCACCAAACATATACACATGTCAATATATATTATATAATTTCAGACATTGCTGCTAACAGAATTCGTAATCCTTTGTTCTCATCACTGATCTGTCAGCACTGATCTAGGGACTTCACCTTTCTCACAAAGCAGAATCACCTCTCTCATGAATGCTCTCAATTTCAGAACCTCAATTCTCTATACCTAGTCTTTAATTGTAAGAGATTCTGCCGAGATATATCTTCCACCACTGTTGGGAGTTGTGTGTCCTGTCACAGAAAAATCTTAGTGTCCAACTTGGAAGTATCTGCATTTGGATTATTGTTTCAGGACACCCCCAGGGTTAAAAGTAAGTTGCTTGCCTTACAGCCATAAAATTAGAATTACTCCCCAGAGAGACTATAATAGGGGCAGATTTTAACTTTCACTTTAGGATCAGAAACTTCGGCTTTTTTTAAAGAGTAGAAAATCTTTGGTTCTGATAAATATGCACATCTGTATATAGATGTGTACATTTAATGTTTGAGATTGAAGAAAAGGAAAATGTTACCAAATCTTATCACTGCAATTCTGCTGCAACCAGCTAAATGTGAATATGTGGCTTTGGCCTAAATATTAGGCAGAAGATTGATATGAATAATTATTTTCAAAACTTCAAAGTCCCCAACTTACCATTAGATTTGTATGCTGTGAATCTATATACTCACGAAGATTGGTTTTTGCTGTTTTTCTTTTGATCTAAAATCTTGTATTTCTATAGCCTTATTTTTTTCTTCCTTGTGTTGGGAAGTGGGGAAAATACCAGAATGTAAACCTGTATCATTTTTAAATTTTTGGAGGAAAGTTTTCTAGAAGTTGAAAATGGAGATTCTTGTTCATAAGATTATCCTTAAAGTAGTGAAAATCGAAGAAATAATATGTCAACATCATTTGATAAAGAGTATCAGGCAAGTTACCTTGGAGAATAGGATGCTTTAGTACAATCTGGGATGTACAAAGAGCAAAGTGTTCTAGGGAGAGTAACTCCTTGAGAAGAACAGGAGTAATGCTGGAAAGTATGAGAGCAGAACTCAAGAAATTAGAAATGCAGGTTAGTTAAGGCATGCACAAGGCAGTTAGAAAAAGGAGGAAAAAATTTTTGAAAAATTTTGACCCTATAGACACAGATCAAAGTTTGAATTTTGGCTCCACAAATTAGTAATTGTATTTAATCTACATGTAGTCTATATATTAGCTCTTATCCTGAGGTTCACTATCTGTACAATGGGTATGAAACTATCTGCCTTGTAAGGGAGATTATAGGTAGTACATTCAAAGTACTTGGCATATATTACAAGGTCAATAAATAATAATAGCAAACACTTATATTGTACCTATTATGTGACAAGCACCAATCTAAGTGCTTTAGGCTTATCAACACATTGAATTTTTTCATAAAACATATGAATTAGTTATTTTTAATAACTGTTTTAACAATGAGGGTACTGGTGCACAGGGAGATGAATAGTTTTTCCCAAGATCACATCGCATGGAAATGGCAGACCTGAAAACTGAACCCAGGTGGTCCAGCTTTGCAGTTCAAGCCCTTAACTATTAACTATAGTCACTCTAAGGTTGAGATGAGAGCTTTGCAAGTGGTTTGCATTGACAGTGAGCTACTTCAGGAATGTCATTGATGAAGATATGCAGAATGGGTGGAAGGTGAAATAGTGAGTGAGGAGAGAAGGGAAAGGGGTGATGATATTTTTCGGGTAATAGCTAATGAAGTCTTGTATTAAGATGAAAGAAATGAAAATAGAAGGAAGAAGTAAAGACAACAGCATGAATGGTGGAATTTCTAGAACTCCACAGCTGAACAAATGACTTAATTTGTACATTGTAATGAACTATGCTACTGCTAGTTTAAAAATTATAGGACGAGATATGACTTTTGGGATTGAGAGTAAGGTTTGGGTTAGGAAACCAAACATGACTGAGGTTTTGAGTTTCAGTGACAAGGACAATTAAGGTAATATTCACAGAAATTGTTTTGTTTAACCCTATTTGTCATCATATAATTTTGCTAGATTCAAATCTTTAAATGTCCCTGAAAATGTATAAATTAACTTGCTTATTAATCTTACTCGCAAATGTTTGTATGTATGCTGATGTTTCCTCATTGGTGGCCATGCAGTAATCCCCAACTGGGCAGTGGAATAAAGGTAAATCATACCAAAATAGCCTTTGTAAAGAAAAAAATTTTTAACCTTCTTGGTGAGTGGTTCGTACTAAAACAGTACCAAGCCAAGGGCAATTAGCCCAAAGCACTTAGATTCATTGTATCAATGCCTCACAGCCTGTGTTCATTTAAAATATTCAAATTTAAAAGTGAAATTTCTAAACAGCTTTATTTCTTCTAGAGTATTGGTCTCTCTGCTGGGAAGTGAATACTATTTCATTTTGTTTTCAGCCAAAAGAAAAAGGATCCACAAGAGTTCATGCCCTGAACAATGTCAATAAGGCACTACGGGTCTTGCAGAACAATAATGTAAGTGGTACTCTGGACAGGGTCTGGATGCTGTGAGACAGCATGCTTCATGTTTGAGTGAGGGCTTCGGCCCCAAACATAGAAAAAAACGTCTCATTTTCTTGTAAATCAAAGCAGTTTTTTTTATTGGGAACACGGGTTCTAGTTCATATGTGTCTGCTTGTAGCTAACGTGGTTCAGAAAGCAAATACGTGCAGCACGCAGGAAAGGCGTGGACCAGACCTGACAGGCTGCTTGCTCCCTGTTGTTTTCAGATTTCACTTGATGCAATTGTGTTAGGTGGACAAATTAAGTCCTGCAGTGAACTCAGTTTCCTATAGCAGTGTTCTGTGGAACAAATGGATTTTACTATAGTGAATATTGTTTTTTATATACTAAGATCAGATATGATGATAATGAAATTTGTTGGAATTAAGCCAACATTTATTAAATACTACCTCCATGCATATACATTATACAGAAATATCACTATTTTCACTCAGGGTAAGAGTGGCAAATTTATTTTCTATTTCTACATTTGGCTTAATTTAACAAGATTAAAATATATGTGTTATATTAGAAAGAATAAACAATTATGCCTAAATGAGAGGGCAGGTCAGAGAAGTTCGAGTCCCTTCCGAGCAACTTTGTGATTTCTCCCCTCTATCATGGCAATGGAGGCTGTCCTCCTTTCTATTAACTTCCAACAACCTTTCTAATCGACCAATACATATACCAGGCACTTTTAGGAGCTTCCTAATTGCATTACACTTCTCTTGCAAAGATAAATTCAAATACATTGATCTCCTCCTCTCAAAATAACCATAAGCGGTGATAGATTAGTAATAACGAGCACTCCCCCAAATGCGATTCAGCTCTTCTGGCAGGGAGAGGATGTTACACAGGATATAGAAATAGAAACTGTGCAGCAATTGGTTGATTTTATGAATTCCGGGTCATTGTCATCTATAACCTATGAAAGTTATTTTACAGAAATAGTATATGTTTTATTGTCTTCTGAAGAGGATAACTCTAGATTTTCATTTTTTTCTGAGGCCAGAAGAAAATAGTCTATGAAATCTTTTTCTTATCATTAATCTGATAGACTCTTGAAACATCATCAAGGATTATGAAAATTGTTTGTGATATTGAAAACTATCACAAAGAAAATATATTTGGAATATCAAAGTACCAAAGCTCACCTCAAAATATAAAAATGAAGAAAACAGCCAAAAATTGAGAATATTATTAGGTTAAATTTATTTGATGTAGTTGGACTCCCTCTACCAAGAAAATGTCACATTAAAAAGTACTGTTGGCTGGGCTCTGTGGCTCAGCCTGTGATCCCGCACCTTTGGGAGGCTGAAGTGAGTGGATTGCCTGAGCCCGCGGGTTCGAGACCCGCCTGGGCAACTTGGTGAGATCTCATCTCTACAATAAATCAAGAAATCAACCGGGCGTGGTAGCGCGTGCCTATAATTCCGGCTAGTTGAAAGGCTGAGGCGGAAGGATTGCCGGAGCCCAAGCAGGTCAAGGCTGTGGTGACCAGGAGCAGCCACTGCACTCCAGTCTGGGCAACAGAGTGAGACTCCAACTCAAAACAACAACAACAACAAAACAAAAACAAAAACAAAAACCTGTTGAATAGCCTATAAATTAATCAATTAATGTAGTCGTACATTTTGTTTGATGAGAATATTGTCTTTTCACATACTGATTATAGATTATAAATTTGTGAGATTTCATATAAATATATTATAATTATTAATTTGACAGTTTTTAATATGAAACCACAAACATTTGGCAATAAAACAGATGACCATAGAAGAAAATCTATGTGACTTTGGGGTAGCCAAATATTTATTATATTTTAAATCAAAGCATGTTTCAAAAAGAAAAAATAACTTGAACTTCACCAAATTATGAGTTCTTAAATTCTGGGTATGAATCATTTGTTTTATGAGTTGTAAATATGTTTTTCTCTTCTGTGGATTATCTTTTAATTCACTCAGTGGTAACTATTAATAAATACATATTCTTCACTTGAATGGAGTTCATTTTCTAATAACTTTTATGTTATATTTTTACATATTATTTTAGAAATATTGGTTATCCAAAGCCATTATGATGCAATCTTAGGCTATTAGCTATATAACCTTTATCATTTTAGCATTTGAATTTGGTGTGAGAAATGGTTTGAGATTCAGGATTTTTTTTCCATTTGGAATCTAATTGACATAACACAATTCATCAAAAAGATTTTTGCTTCCCCATTGCTCTGCAATACTAAGCATGTCATAAAAATCCATCAATACAAATGTGGGTCCATTTCTGGACTTCAGCTCTCTTCCACTGTTCTATTTCTGTATATATGCACAAATATCATGCAATCTGGATTAATGTATTTTTATAATACATCTTAATATCCGGTGAACTAGTTTCTTCTACTTTGTTCTTCAAGGGTTCTTTGGTTGCTATTGAGCCTTTTTATTTTTGTATTCGTGTTTGCAATCAACTTTTCAATGTCCACATAAATCCACTTGGAATATGGTCAACACTGAGTTAGATAATAGATTTGGGAACAACTGACTCATTTACAGTATTGAGTATTTAAGTTTCTCCTGTGTTTTCCATATATATATATATTTTTTTTTTTTTTAATTTTAGGTATTGTAGAATGAGAAACAATCCAGTAGGATAAATAGCCAACAAACTTCAGTAAGAACTTCACAAAAGAGGGTATCCAAAGATTCAAGAATAATAATAAAAGCTATTCAACTTCAGCACTAATTGGGGAAATTTAAATTAGTACTGCAATGATATGCCAATACAAATTAACCAAAATGACTTAAATTAAAAAGACTATTAATGCCTAAAGATGATGAACATGTGGAACAACTGGTACTCTCACAACTAACTAGTAGAAATATAATTCACACAACTATTGAAAACAGTTTGCCATCATCCACTAAATAGGAAAATGTACATTTCTCATGACCCAGCTATTTTATTTCAAGGCATATAACTAAAATACATTCTTATGTTTGCCAAAACATATGTATAAATGAGAATGTTGATATGAATTTTATTAGCCATAGTCAAAACTGGCAGTGACTATGATATAGCCACATGTTGGTATATGAGTGGGAACTCCCAAAAAACTAGAATTGTCTTTTGGAGGGTGGTTCCCTTGTAGTATATGCTGCCCCCCATTAGGTAAATGTTCTAGTCGCCCATAGGCATCAGTGTATCACCTAGGATTACTGTGAGAAATTAGTTCCGGCTTCAGTGAATTTTTCTTTTTTCTTTCTTTCTTTTTTTTTTTTTTTTTTTTTGAGATTCTTTCAACGTGTTTGTCCATTACATGATAAGAGACTTACACTAACAACTTGCCCACACTGCATTGAGTGTTCAGCGGTTTTAGACCAAAAACAACATGATCCCCATGTTCCACCCTCCTTATTCACGTGATCTCACCCAGTGTACCTTTTTTTTGTTGTTTCTCTGAATGAAAAAAGTCCTCAAGGGAAACGTTTTGCCCATGTGGAAGAGGTGAAACAATGACAGAAGAACTATAAAGAAACAAAGTGACACATTCAAAAACTGTTTTCAGCAATGGAAAAAAATGTCACAGTAGGTGTATTGCATCAAACAGAGAGTACCTTGAAGGTGACTGAAGTTTAAACATGTAAGAATAATACACAATTTTTAATAAATAAATTACATGTTTTTGGGATACCCTTTCATATTATAAAGAAATGAAAATGAACCCATGATATCTACACACAATACAAAAGATTGATTAATCTCCTGAAAGAGATTTGAGCAGAAGAATTACAGAAATATACCTACTGTGTTTTCTTATAATTAAATTTCCAACATAAACCAGATGTTTCCATGTATTTAAAGTTCAAGAGAGTGGTTCAATTTTGGAAGGAGTGAGGCAGTAAATGAGTAAGAGAATCTTCTGAGGTGCTTAAAATGTTCTATGTTTTAACTTGGTGACTGTTATACATGTTCATTTACAGTAAGAAACTTCACCAAGCTGTACACTTAAGTATACTTTTTTTGTATGTATATTTCAATTTGAAAACAAAGTTTAAAAAAGAGAAAATTATGAAAGAAAAATAAACCTGACATTATAACCACCCAAATTCGAAACAATGGCCATATTTACCAATCTGATCATAGACCCCATATTTTCTAACAAAATTATTAAATTAATGTGATAAGTGAATATACAAAATTTAGATTACGATGAATACATGGCTCTTTTCTGGATTGGACACATTTCTTACAGAAAGTAGAGAATCTCCTAATATTTTAGCAGGGAAACACACCAAAATAAGAGTTTAAATTTTAGTGTTCTTCAAAAGCAGATGTTCCCAATGCTCTAATTTGAGCCAGGGCTTTAATGGGGGAACTGCATAAAAGGTCTTTGCACTAGAGGACAGAAAGTTGAGTAAAACATTCTCAAGCAGACACCCAACACAGAGTAAAATAACCTTTACCTCATTTAGCCCCAGACTGAAAGATACAAGATACGGATATTCAAAAGTAAATGTGTTTTTTTGTTTTGTTTTTTTTTATACTTCTCCATTACTTTGTAATAAAAGGAGGTACAAAAGAAATGAAAAATATTCCAAGGTATAACTTTATTACTCTCTGATTATTATCATAAAGAATATACACACAGATAATGTTCAAGAGCAGGATTTTATCCTGGATATGAGTTTGGGCATTCTATATCAGATGAATAAATGAGCCTGGGGCACAATATAAATAAATCATCACATTAAATAAGATAGTAGATAGAACTATTTCAAATTCTTTTTAAAATCATAAATTTTAAAAATAGAATCAACTATAAAAGACAATGATTGGTATCAGAGTAAATGCAACTCATAGAGTTTACAGCAATATGACAGGGAACATTAAACATATATAATGTATATAGGAAAGTAAATGGAAAAGAAAGAAATAGAATAAGAGGTCTGGGAAGACCTTTTGGTTAAGTTATT